TATTAGGAGGAAGCATGGGACAGAGGTCATACCAAAGAGTTTAAATAGATAGCTTTCTAGTTAGGCTATAGGTATGGCAGCTAGTGTAGAACCTTCGGGTGGACTACTTAAATTAGATAACCAAAAGTTGTATGTGTAGCTAGTTGCACTCTTGTAATACCAATGTAACATGTGGTCAAGTCTTCAGACAAATGGCCTAACCGCTTGTACTAATAAAGTGCCATGGGTCTAAGTGGTCACCTTAATATTAAAAAAAAAAAAAGTTAATCTAACTAAAATTAAACCTCTGAAATTAGATCTTCATATATATAATTCTGGTTACGTGCAATTTTATATGTCTAAAGCTGCATCTTTAGATAGATAGTAACTTTAGATATGACATAATCTACAAAAATTATCATAAACTACAGCTAAAGTCTTCTACTTAACCTCAAACCGGGACTAGACAACCACAGAATCCACAGTCTATTGGGAAACTAGAAAAGAACTACAACTATCTTCAGTTCATTGAGACAGTTGGAAAATAACAACCATGGAGACTCTCAGTATATCAGAAACAGCCAGACAGAGTTTCAGTATACTTTATGATATCGCGCGAGCAAGAAACGAGTGATAATACTACTTATGCCACTTAAGCAGTAGATCAGGGTCAAGTATTTTTATTTGTCAGGTATATAGAGTATAGAATTATTAGAGAATAAATTTTTTGTAAACATAAGAATGTCTTCACTCAAGGGCAAGAAGCCTTTATTATATACTTTCGACTTATTAAATGTCTTATTCGTGATACATCTTTTTATCTATTTATTGTATATAAGCTGATTAATCCTATTATTCCTTACTATTTATATACTTTACTGATATCACATTTATTAATTGTTCTCTTAGTTTTATGGTTTCTACTTTTTCCACTTTTTGCATTTTATTACTAGAAAACCTATTTTTGGTAAATGATCTTCATAACCACTAGGATGCTTCTGTGCTGCTTTTACTTTGCATGCTTCCAGCATACAGTTTTGTAATTCACAGTTAGTGATGTGCCATGTACGTACAGTACTATACATACTGTATGGTACGTACTGTATGCTAAAATTTTTGCTTATCACTTATTCCTGCCAATCAGATGCCAAAAAAAAAAACCATATGTACAGTACATATGGACGGATTTGTTTCCATTCAATATTGTCACAAAATTCGATTTTGTCATATATGATAATCAAAACATACTATTAATCAATTAAATTAATCAAAAAAAATTGATCGTGATTACTAACCAATCAAAACTAATAAAAAATTTAATATACAAACAATGATAAATGATTTATTACAGTATATATATTATTAAATTATTTATTATTAACGAAACTTCACTTTAATTAATATATTTTAAACAGTAATTTTATTTTATTCTACTTTTCTTTCCAATTGCAGTCTTCAGAACTTTAATTTATAAATTGAATTAAATAATATCAGATATCATTCATTTGATCTAATCATATCTATGCTTAGAAATTTAACACTTACAAGTTAATTAACGTACAAATACGTGTATTAATATTATTATTAAATAAAAAAAGGTTAATCAAAATTCGTATTTAAAATATTAAAGCATTATATATTTCAAAAAAGTGCAAATATAAATAAGTTACCTAGTGATTGATCAAAGCAAATCGATCAAATAAATTCCCAGCTAAAAGTCGCTAGTAAAAGTTCGCCTATTTAAGAATAGATAAAATAGTTGAATCTAAGCTTAGACAAAGAACTGCAAAACTGGTGTTAGTTTGCAAAACTTTTCAAGATTTTCTTGCCGCAAATTGCACATAACCTTGTTTTCTTGTACATCTAACTCTTTAGCACCATCACTAGTAAAAGTTGTGCCTATTTTAGGATCTGAAAAAACTATTTTAGGATCATTGAAGTAGAGGTCTTGTTGAATGTAAGCACAAAATTTCGTGCCACAAAATTGAAAAATAAAACGTGGGGCTTCGAAAAAGTAAGTATCACTTTTTATTACGTTAACCAAATTAACCAATCAGAGGACGAATTCTTAATAATCACGTGGAAATAAATCCGCCCATATGTTAGGTATCATATAAATGGCACATCACTACTCACAGTACGTACGTTTGTATGTGATTTCATCACTCCGTTCATGGTACGCACGTTCTGACAAATATAGAAGAATCAAAACACAAAAAAATCAGATGAAACCGTAATCCAATCAGATTCATGGATTCGGATACGTCCTTTCACTTGCCATATAACCATGCACTTCGGTCCTGGTACTAGTACAATTAAGTATATGGGCTAACCGAATGAACGAATATCCGGATCATCCGGATTCATGCCCTAATAAGGAATAATATTTGAGCACACCTAAAATTGCAATTCATATTACGATTATATTGTAATTAAATTATTAAATTAATACGATATGAATTGTCTGATCGAATATTATTCTTTATAATTCCCAAGGCTCACAGCATATTTCTACCATGAAGAAATTTTAATATAAATTAACAGCTAACCGTGGAAAGAAAATAATTATAATATATCGTCTATTAATCCTAGATATTTTGAAAATTTTATATCATAAAGATGTTGGGAAAGAAGAAATTATTTATAATATTATTACTATGTTTACCTCTTGGATTTTTTATTATTTTTTTTTTAAAACCTTTCCATAGACACCGAACGACGTACTCACCTCTCGGATTAAATGCACAATCAAACGATACCAATATATACTATCTTGTATTAGGTGATTCGTTTGCACGTGGTGTTTTTAAACTGAAAGACAACAAAACACCTCATGCGTATTCTTATGCAGACGCTTTATATGAACGGCTCAAGGAGACAAATCCAAATCTTGTACTCAAAAAATTTGCGCGTGGTGGTCAAACCACTGAAACTCTTATTAGTGATCAGTTAAAAAGAGCTACAAAGTTTATGAAACGTAATAGTGGGTTAATAAAACTTATTACAATTACTATCGGTACAAATGAATTTTCAGGCTGTACTTCCAAATGTAACAATAGGCTTCATAAAATAGTGTATAACTTAAACAATAAGATAATTCCCATGTTAAAGAAAGCAGGAGGTGAAGGTGTACAATATTGGGCTACTACTTATCATAATATACGCTTAAATTCTAATCCATTAGATGATAGTTTAATTAAAGTTTACAACGAGAATGGGGTCAAAGTAGTGGATATGAGAAAAATTATTACAAACGAAACAGCGTGCAGTTATACTTACGCATGCGACTATCATGATAAACATCCAAATATAAATGGTAGCCATGCAATTGCTGATGTGATATACAATAATTTAACTTTGCCACTATAAATTTAATAAGTTCTATTATCTTTTTTTAGTTTCTTATTTAATATAGTTTACTTTTACTACTTTACAGAAGTATGTTAAATTTTTTTAGTAATTTTAGAAATTATAATAAAATTAGTAAAATTATATCTTATTCCTTAAATTGTAGGCAATTCTAGGCAAATTTACCTGGAAAATTGGTATAAATTTGCTTATGTTTATTTTTTAAAAAAATTCAAATACAGTCGTCCTTTCTATAATCACGCTGTTTGTTTACATAAAAAAGATGTGATTATACATTTTAATAGTAATGAGATTATATAGAGTTTTTTTAATAAGTATAAGTATACATTATTGGGCAAAAATTGTTGAATAACGGCAATTTGGCAAATGAGCACGTGCCGCTTTGCGGCACGTGTAGCCAATCATTTGCCAAATTACCGTATTCGACAATTTGCCCAATAATGGTGTTATCCGGCAATTTATGATCATGATTGGTAGGGAGTCGCTCGCTGAGTTTTATTTTTTGAATATTGGAATAACATAATTATATCGTAACACATGAAAAAAATAACAGAAAGAAATTTTTTCATGATCATATGAGTTTGCCGGATAAATAAATATATTGCCAATAATTTTTCAAAAAATGGTGCATCTAAAAAGGATGTGATTATATAGGTGGTGACTGTAGAGGAGGGCGATTGTATAAGTTTAAATAAAATTTTAATTAAAAACTTAAAATTTAAAGATTCATTATCTCAAGCAAGTTCTTTATCAAAAATTCATCCCGAGCAAGCCTTAATAACCACAAACCATTAAGAGATGCTGCTATACAATATGTAAAAAAAAAAAAATCAAGAAATTCGTAATATTATGGGAAATGTCATACATTTGTTAAATTTAAATCTAGATGATCTTGCAAAAATTAGGATTCCTAATATTAACAAGCGAGAATTGGTCGACGTGCACTACCTTGTAAGATTATCCAAAAAAGACTGATCACGATTCATACCAGATTGGATGTGAATTTGGGATCTTAGATTCGTATATGGTATCCGGCTAATGAATTGGAACTATTAGGCATTAACGGATCTCCAGTACTTGATATTATTCCACTTGGTATTTTCATCTTCTTAATAAATGCCGAGGCCCCGAAGAAAACAAATATCAGTAAAGACTAAATACTTATATCTCGCGATCTTCTGGCAGATTTTAATGTTTAACCACCATTTTGATCGCAAGAACTTTTATACAACTTTAATTAGAAGTCGAAAAGAGATTTTTAATAGAAATGTGAAAATAATAATATTTTTTATAATTTTATTAATAAAATTATGAAAAATATTATAATTCTCAAAATGTTACTAATTAACTATATCTTTATGCTCTAAGTAAACTTATTCCACGCACAAAAATAAATCTCATCAGTATTTGTTACTTTATAATTTTAAATTTTAAGAAAAAAATGATTAATTTTGGATTTTTGATCAAAAATTTCAAAATTAGCATATTTTTTCTTAAAATTTAAAATTATAAAGTAAATGTATGCTGATATGGTGTATATTTATATATAAAACAAGTTTACTTAGAGCATAAAGATATAAGTAATTAGTAAAATTTTGAGACTATTGATATTTTTCATAATTTTATTAATAAAATTATAGAAAATAATATGATTCTCAATATTTTACTAATTAATTATATCTTTATGTTTCAAGTAAACTTGTTTTACATATAAAAATATACTATATTAGTATATGTTTACTTTATAATTTTAAATTTTTTAAAAAAATGCTTAATTTTGAATATTTAATTAAAAATTTAAAATTAAATATCTTATTCTTAAAATCTATAAATATAAAGCAAATATATATCATTATGGTATATTTTTATATATAAAACAAGTCTATTTAAAATATAAAGTTATATTTATTTGATTTTTTTTTTTTTTATTATTATTATTATTATTCTTTGACAAGTCTGCTAGATACTTTGAGTGAATATATTCAATATTATAGAGAAAAATTTCTATACTATACAACATATAGTTCGATTCCCTGAAGGTTAGCATCATCTAATTACTATTTAGTTCTAGGTGTACCCTGTGCATTGTTTAGATTTTAAACAGAAAATAGTGATAGCTCATTTATGACTGCCTATTCTTTTTTTTAAGATTTTTTTTATCTTAGTTTGGGTAGAATATTTGATATCTTATTCTTCTACAAGAAACAACAATATATACCACATTTATAAGAAAAAAAACTATCTAGAACAAGACAAAAGAAAGAGAAAAAAAAAAACAAATGAATATAACAAAAACTAAAGAGAAAATCTATTCTAAATATAATTTTGTCATAGTAAAACAAAGATAATAAAAGCAAAAAAAAGAAAGTAGGTAGTCTTAATAGATATCATCTACAGAAAAAAGTGCACTATTATAACCTGTGCAAGGCTAAAAAATTATATAACAAATGCAACATCTATATATCTCTACTGTAAAACTTTGCCTTAACATATTGGTTTCTTTCTGACAATATGACCAAATTTAGAGAAATCTTTAACTGAGGACTAGTTAATGGGCCTTGTCATGTGGAATAGCAATGTGTTTATTCTTAAACAAAACACGTGGTTGCAATTTACTAGGTTGATCAAATTTGGAAGAAGTAAACAATACTGATCTTTTGATAGAGGTAAGCTGTTTTGTCTACTTTTTTTAAAAATTTTGTTGTAGATACAAGTAGGTGATAGTAAAAAGTATAGATCTTGTCTTTTCTTAAAAGAGAGTATATATTTCTTCAAAAATAGTAAGATGAGTAGATGCAAATGTATTGCTAATATTCTTTTTAGTAAGTAATAAACTCTAAACTTGTTAACAAGTAGCATATGAGAACTACTTCTAAATAACAAATGCTATTCTCATAGTAAGTAATAAGCTCTAAACCTATTAGCAGATAGCATATAAGAACTATCTCTAAATAATAGGTGCTGGTTTATAGTTCTTGTTAGTCTTATGTTCTTCTTCTTTAACATAGTTCTACAGTTTTTGTTAAAATTTTTTGTTATAAAAAGTTAGTCTAAGGGATTGTCAACAAGAGTTTTGATATAAATTCAATATGTATATTTATTTAGTAAAATTATAATTCTCAATATTTTACCAATTAAATATATGCTTTATATATATATATATATTTTGTTGTTAAGGTGAGGCCTTGCTCATATCTTTATTGGTTAATTTATATAAATAGTTACATAAACTATATAAAAAACTTAATTTGTTTAAAAACAAATAAATATAAATTATATACAAGAATAAGAGCTCAGACTAAAAGCTTGAACTAGAAGCTAAAGCTAAAAGCTTGAGCTAAATATTTGTGATCTAAACCTACTAGAGTGGTCAAGACTTATCAAAATTTGAATTGTTAGAATATAATTAGTAGATACATTGTATTTGATTCACAAAGTAGAACAGGTGTTAAGTTTGAAGGTAGCTTGTTCTAGAGAAGGACAAGCATTGGATTCCAAGTGTAATTGGTTAGCAAAACTACAAGAGTAGCTATAGGTATAGTTAGTTTTATTTATCTTGTTGAAGGAGATTAAAAAGGATCAGCATAAATAATTGGTAATTAGAATAAAGAAAAATTTGGCAAGAATTTTTCTATTAGAAGAAGTTTATATAGTTGGAATCTAGATATTGTTGTAAAGTTGGTCAAAGATATTAAATAATAGTTTAATAATAAGTTAGAAGACATTAGAGTATGAAATGTCAAATAGATCTAAGAATTTAATTAAAGAAGTTGGTATAAGGCTTTTAAATATAGAGTAGAGAGAGAATAGATAGAGTTGAGAGGGTTGGGGATAAAAGGCAGGATATGAAATAATCGTATATATAAGGTTGTTTAGTTAAGGTGGAGAGAGATCGAGTTTAAAATTGGATAAGGTGTTGTGTATAGTAGAGTTAATAGTTTGAATTAAGATATAGCTAGTACAAGTATACTAGTAAGAGGAAGAGTTTGGGTTGTTACAAGAGAAGCAGTTAGGAGTTGTAAATAAGTGAGGATATATATTGTAAAAATATATATATATAGATAGAATATTAAGTAGCATTTTGATTTTGAAAGCTTTTAGATAGTTTAGTTTAGGATTAGTAAAGTTATAAAGTATAGCCAGGAGGCATTTTAGTTGATCTGGTGGAAAAAATGTGACTATTTTTGGATATGTGTTAAGAAGACTATAAGGCTATATTGTATGCATTATATGTTTTTAATAAATTGTTTAGTAGAACTAATAACAAAGTTGTTTTAATATGATAGAGTAAAGTAGAGGTTGTAAGAGTTGGTGTAGTTAAATAATAACAAGAGGGAGCTAGAATGACTATTGACAAGTAAGTCTGTAAGATTATTAAAAGTATTGTCAGAGTGGGCCTGGACTTTGTAAAGAAAAAGTTGGATATTAAAAGCTTTTAAAATATTAAGAAGTGTGTGCCAGATAGACCAGGAGTTAAATTTAAAGTTTTTAGTAGAGTAAAGGGATAGGATTAGGAGTTTGTTGTTTTTAGATATAACTAATTGTAAATTAGTAAAAATTTGTAAACTAGAGTTTTATAAAATAGTTGAGATGATAGAAAGAATTGCTAATAGTTCAGTTTTATAAGAAGAAAACCAGTTTGTAATTTAGGTGGAGAAGCTTTGTATGATTTGGTCATTTTGAACTTGAACCTAGCCAATATCTATAGAACATTGGCCAGTACCAAGTTGTTTGACAAAGCCATCTGTATAAAAGATGAATTGATGCTAGGAAAGATTGGCTAGTGTGATTTGAGTAAGCTATGACGAGGCCTCATTGTTGTGAAAGATAGTAGGTATGAGTGAGATGATGAAGGCTTTATTTTTAAGTAAACTTGTTTTATGTATAAAAATATACTATATTATAATAAAAAAAATAGCTATTGGGCAAATTGTTGTAGAACAAATACTATAAACCCAAACTTATATATATTAACAATTATTATAAAATGCACTTATAGTGATTTTTACCTATGTATTATGTAACCTTATAATCACTATTTATTATATATCATATGCATAATGTGTGATCTTACTAATTTTACTTTGTATATATTCATACAACTTTTTAGATTCTAATTTGACTTCTACAAATTTTATTCTATATAACCATATTTGTATAGCTTTTTAAAATGAAAAGTGAAGCTGAATTTGACAAGGCTGATTTGTGTTTTGCTAGCAATATTGAAACAAATATATTTGAGAAAATTCTGACTTCTAATAGGCAACTACTTTTAAAAGAAAGTGTTAATTTGATGGATTCTGAGGCTGAAACTGATCTAACTGATTCAGAAAAGGATTTATATCTCTTGGTTAAAGAAAAAAGTTTTGCTGATTAGAAGGGTGTTGAATAGTAAGTCGAATACTTTTTTTTATTATAGCTAATATATTTTTTTATTTGTATATATTAGTACAAGTATTAACTAATGAAAGTTGGCTTGACAAACATGGTCATGAATGAGAGTTTGCTTTTTTTTTAGCAAAAAAACAAATTGAACAAAAATGATAGAATACCTAAGCATTAGGTATATTATTGCTCCAAAGGACATCACTATAAAGTAAAAAAAAAGACACATATATTAGAGGAAAGAAATAAAATACATGAAAATAATGGATGTAAATATCATATTAATTTACAAAGATGGAAAAGCGATAATCAAATACATATCTTAGATATAATTGGTGAGCATTTGTATCCAATGAGCGATAATATTCAAATGACTGCACCACAATATCATTATCTTATATCTGAAATACGGGATGATATTGAACTTCTAGCTGCTAGTGGTGTGTGTACTGGGGTAGTAATTAATATGTTAATGCACAAATATCCAGATCACTACATTCATGCATGTAGCATCTATAATATAGTTCAAATAATTAAAGTAGAAAAAGGAAAGCTAAATGATGCAGGTGCTACTTACAAAGAACTAATATGTTGAAAGCAAGAAAAGCCTGATTAGTATGTTAATGCAAAATTCAAGGGAATCGATCATCATCTTGTAGAGCTTATGTGGTTGCATTCTAAACAAATTGATATTTGGAGCCATTTTTATGATGTTGTCTTTCTTGACACAACTTGTAGAATGAATAGGTTTAATATAATTATGTGTGTTGTTGTCTGTGTTGATAATCATAATAGATCATGGCTTGTTGCAATAGCCTTAATTATAGATGAGCAAAAAATTGCATTTGAATGGGTCTTGCAAGGAATACTTAAAGCGACAGGTTGTAGACACATTGTTTTTGTTTAGTATATCTGTTGTAGTTATTTATTTATTTTATTTTTTAAATAGGGGGTTTAGAACCTAAAGTTATTTATATAGATGCAGATCTCATGATCACTAGTGCAATAAAAAATATATGGGGTGGCACAAAGCATCATTTTTGTTTGTTTCACATATGAAAGAATCTTGAAATGCACTTTTTATCTAAATTTGGAAGAGAAAAATTTAAAAATTTCTTTTCAAATTTTTATCAAGTACGAAATAGTACCACAGAAACAATTTTTAAGAGAAAGTGGCAACAGCTCTTAGATCCTTTTCTGAAGTATAGTCTTATTTGAAGTATCAACTTTATCTACATTGTGAAGTGTGAGTTCTTGCCTTCACATATTATTCATTTAATTGTGGTATACAGTTAACCCAAAGAGTTGAAGTGTATAATGCGATTCTAAAGAAATCACTAAACAGAACAATATCTTTATTGAAAGTAGTAAGTATAAAAAGTGGTATTTGCTTTGAGAAACACAATTTGTGAGATTTAATGAAACTATTAGAGAGCTTCTACATGTTTTATATATATCATATCAAGATCACTATTTTAAGGTAATTGATAAAGCATGCACAAAATTTCTTACACCAGTGATACAAAAATTGCAGTGAAATCAAATGGATCAATATCCCTATTACAGAGTTATTGTACAGAATTGGAGTCTGAGTTACAACAACAAGCTCATGTTAAAAATATTGACAAACAGTATACTAAAGTGGTCATGAGCTTGAATGTTGTCTTTAAGTTATTTTCTAATGAGTTGAATCATGTTAGTTAGTTAGAATTTGGTAAAATTATCAAATAGGTTTGACATATTTAGTTGATTTTAATAAATTCTAACCAATTTAACTTGTTTGGCTTATTATAAGTATTGTGTTATCTAATTTTTTTTATTTTTTATTTAGAATACATCTCAAAGCATATTTAGCGAAGATTTGTATAATGAAATGCTTATTGAATTAATAGAACTTATTGACGGTATTAGTGATATTAAGGAACTTTGGATAGTAACACGTATTGATCAACAGAAATGCCATTTTGTTGTTCTTTTGGTAATGCCAGTCATTTGTGAACATGTTTAACACTCGTGAATCAAGGTATTATTTGCTGCCACTTTTTTGCTATTTTGTTAGAAAGCAAAATAGTACAATTCATGTTGGAATTCTGGCAAAGCATTGGTTTAATGATCGTGCTATGCAAAAGCATGATTATAACAATGAATGTGTGATTTCAATTTGAAGTGAGAAAAAACTTGGTGCATTTGAACACAAGGTCCAAGCTAATTTCTCTTTTATTAATACAATTCACGGCCACTGCATTTTTACACCCAAGATACACCACCATATAAAAAGTTATGCACTTTATGGAAAAGGCTATAGTCTGATGAAAAAACTTTGAATTTAGCAATCAAAACTGGATGTACAGAAGACTTCTATGATTTATATCTGCAGTTTATTAGTGAGATAGAAGAGCAACTAGTAGAACAAGAAGGATGTGCTTTACAATTAGTTAATAAGTATAATTATAAAACAATCAATAATTCATTGAGACCACAAACAAAAGAACACAAATGCCAAAAACATATAACAGCATTTAATAACAGTGCATGAAAAAAAAGTATTGAAAGAAACAACAAATATACTACAAAATGAAGATTTAGTAAGAATGGCTAGTTTCAACATAAGTAATGAGTTAATTAATATCAACAATATTAAAGAACAATAAAACCATATAGTGTATAAATATATTCAAGTGTTCAAGAAGAACAAGGCCAAGATAAATAGAATATTTATAGATTTTAGTATCAAACATTATCTTTAAATTATAATTCATCGATTTTATTATCTTTAAATTAATAATATCAGAGTTGACAATGAGTAATGAAAATAATGTGGACACAATGCAATTAATTAATCAAGGTACTGTGGTGTATAATTCTGCTCACGCTAAATCTAATTTCGTGATTAAATTATTTTAATATGAACAGAATTATGCACCACAGTACCCTACTATGTTTGTGGTTTAAATATTCTTTCAACACTTCATTAATACATAACAATGTATTTCAGACAAGAGAAAATGCACTTATATATGTGAAAACTGTGGCAAGGATAGTTACTATAAATCATGTTACTCTAATGGTATTCTATAATGTGATAACTATGTATTGTATATATTTTATGTATTAGCTTCATGTGTATATATATGTACATACGCACATACTAATGTTTGTATGCATGCATTAGCTTTGTATGTACTAATATTTGTATTCAGCATTGTACGTGCTTGCTTTATAATTTGTTACTATTAGGACTTTAAAAGTGTTGGTTAGGATTATTATTATTTGACATTTACTGAGTCTCTATGATTGTATGTTTTATTGCCCATATTTAAGAGTGTAAGTAGATATAGAATATAAGTAATGATTAAGTATATGGCTCCATACTTGTTTATATTTGCTTGTACCCTATAAAAAAAATTAAATAAAGTAATGTAATATTATAAAATAGAACCTGATTTACTAACTCTTTCCAACGATTACTTGTACCAAAATTTTGCTAAAACAAAACTTAAATTTTCTTAAAACTGCTTTTTTTAACACATTTTTTTTACTAAATTTTATTGTTCTACACCCCAATTTACATATAGCTACCAAGTTTTATAGCTCTAAACCAATTTTTTAATTAAATTTAAAAATTCTTCGTTAAATAACTACAATTTGAGTTTACTCAAATTCCGCCAAGGAAACTAGTCTTGTTTCTTAAGACAAAGTCCTCTGGCTCACTCCAGCTTCATTTTACATAAAATTCATTACAAACAGCCAAAAACTGACTATTCTATAGTCAAATTACTCCAAACTCCCTTTTCTATAACTTTTTTCTTTTTTTTCTTTTTTTCCCTTTTTCCCCCTTTTTTCCTATCCAAACCCAGCCCAAAACACGTTTTGGAATCTCTAAAACTAGTGGTTTATTCAATTAATAATCTTATTTAAAAATTTCATTTTAAATTTTTATTAAATTTACAGAAAACAAATAATTACAAATCCATATTCCTTTTAATTTATACAAATTTAAATAGTATTATCTACTATTTTTAGTAACTTTACACAGACCACTCTTGTACTACAAGCCACACTAGCCACAGCCACACTAGCTATAGCCACACTAGCCACAAAAGTTTTATCTATAGTGTTATGTTATATGAAACAAATTTTACCAATTCTTGAAGCTCTCTATGCCCTCTTTAATAATATCGCTATCTAGTCCATCAAAATGCCTACCTTAACTACTCAAGATCCTGATTTTCATAATCTCGACTATTATTACAACAAATACCTAGACCATTTCAGTATTGGAACAAAAAAATCTGAACCACTTACCCTATATATCTTACCCAAAGATATTAATCCTACTAATTGTGAACTTAACAAACTTCATCATTATTTTAAAATGCCAACCTAACCCACTTTATCTACTTGTCTATGTGGCAAATTTCATACAAACTTTATATCCTAACACTACCAAATTCCTCATACTACACTATCCAGACAAACTAGCTCTACAGCAATGGATATCTCCCCAAATACAATTATTTCTAAAAAACGTTTCAACGAAATTACAGAAATATTACCCAAATCACCTCTCTCTAAACAACAACAAGAATTTCAATTAATTTCTCAAATCACACCCTCTACTCTTCATACAGACCCTAAACCTACTGCAATTGATCCTCACTCTTAACACTATTATATATGCAGAATCTGCAAAATTAAAAACATTTCTTGTATTTTTATAAAAGCAAATCATGTACCTGACTACTCCAAATCTATGTTCTTCAAAGGCCTTATCTTATAATCCACTGTGACTGTGCTCACAACCTTCAATATGCCAAACTTAAACCCATCCCTCTTACTAAACCTCTTACACATGAACAACAATCCTTTTTTCACTTTTACTACTTCTTTTAACTTACTAAAAATGCCAAAATCAATCTCCTTCAAAAACTTGCCAATAGGGGCAAAGAAATTAAATAAAACCCACAAAAATCATCTAAACAAAACTAACAACAAGCCAACAAACCCACTAGAGACACATCTCAAGACCTTGACTAGTTTGCCAACTACCCAATTACCCAAGAAATGGAACAAAATACTAAATTAAACACAACACTTGCCCAAAAACTCTTTAACTTTGCCAAAACCCACCTTCGTAAATTTACTCCAGGTCAGCCAATCCCAACTACAGGAAAAAAACTAACCTCCAAACCTCTTCAAAAACAAAGCTTTAACTACTTACTTAAATCCATAACTATTGAAAAACCAGAATTTCTTACAGAGTTCCTCTAACAATCAAATCAATCGCTCTCTCTTAAACTTAATATTTCCCAATATGCATACATCTCAACTCTTAAAAATTTACTTACCAAATTTACCAAACTTCTTTTTACCAAGCTTAACTATATTCATATCTTTAAATCACACTATGCAATTCCTTTATACTCAATTGCTGATCGCAACAAAGTAGCAATCAATTTTGCTTGACTATATCTCTTTCTTCATAACAAATACAGAACAATCCACTATCAAAAATTCATAGAAAAACTGGATATTTACCCACTCAGACTTTCTTTACAATACAACTTCGAATATGACAATACCAAGAAACCTCTCTTTAGCATCCACAACAATAATCGATTCACAGTTACAGTTACACTTAATATTCCTAAAACTAGATTTATGAATACTTTTTGTATTCCTTCACTTAAACCTCATACCAATAACTTTGACTCTTGGTTCGAAAACTTTTTTAAAACATACAAAAAACAGTTTACTGAAATCAATAAAACCAAAGTTCACAACTACCTCAAATACCAAATAGCAACAACACTCGCTAATAAATACAAAAAATACTTACCTTCTAAATATGAAATTACAAATCCCTCCTCTCTCCAAGATCGCTCTTTTCAAACTACTAAAGAAGCTCTTTACCATATTCATACCTGCAAAGATAAAAATTG